AGCAGCATCTGTTATCCCTATTTTTAAAAATTCTAAAGAGCGATCTGATTTGTCTAACTACCGTCCCATCAGTCTTCTTCCTATCATAAGCAAGGTTTTTGAATCTTTAATTAACAAACAATCTCTCATCTTGAATCTAATAACTTACTTTCTGATCATCAATATGGATTTCGATCTTCTCGTTCTACGGCTGATTTGCTGACAGTATTAACCGATAGGTTTTATCATGCATTAGATAAGGGTGGAGAGGTTAAGACCATTGCTCTTGGCATTTCTAAAGCATTTGATAAAGTTTGGCATGCTGGTCTTCTCTATAAGCTTTTTTCTTACAGTCTATCTGGTAACATCTTTAAGATTATTGAATCCTTCCTTTCCAATCGTAGTATAAAAGTTGTCCTTGATGGACAGTACTCTTATTATTCTGTAACCTCAGGGGTTTCTCAAGGTTCAATCCTTATTCTGTAACCTCAGGGGTTCCTCAAGTTCAATCCTTATTCTGTAACCTCAGGGGTTCCTCAAGGTTCAATCCTTGGCCCTCTTTTTTTAATTTACATTAACAATCTTCCAGATATTCTCACACCTATAGTGACATTGTTCACTGATGATACTACAATTTATTCTTGTCATGATAACAAGTCAACTCTCTCTAATTGCTTGGAGGGGGCATTTGAACTTGAAAAGGATCTCACTTCTGCTACAGCATGGGGCTCACAGTGGCTGGTGAACTTTATTTCAGATAAAACTCAATTTTTTTCGGCCAATCGTCATCGCAATAATTTACACCTTCCTATATTTATGAATGATAATGTACTCGATGATTCATCTACCATTCATCTACTAGAATTAACTCTTTTGATCTTTCTTGGAAACCATATATCAAATCCGTTGTAAAATTAGCATCTGCTAAAGTTGCATCTCATCAGCTTGACACTTTCTTACTCTGGATTCTATTCTCTATCTCTATAAATCTCAAATCCAACATGGAATACTGTTGCCATATCTGGGGCATAAGAGACACTGCTATAAAGAGCTAGCGTCTCTTGTGCCATCTACTAAAATTCATTCTCATTTTACACATCATTCAATTAAGTTTCATCCTTTTTCTGATACTGCTCCCAAGTGCTCTAAAAACTCTTATTCATCTAGTTTTTTTCCTCGAACATCAGTTCTTTGGAATTTGCTTCCTTCATCTTGCTTTCCTGATTTATACAACTTGCAATCTTTTAAGTCGTCTGTCAATTATCTTGCTCTACAATCTTTATTTTTTCTCTTCCAGTAACTTCCAACACTAATTAGTGGTTGGTTGCAGCCTTGTTGGAAGCGAAGATGTTTAAAAAAAGAAATTAACAAAAGACTTTATAAAACAACAAATAAATGCTATAAATCAAGATTAAAGAGATTCCAAAAGTTATTCCAACCAACCATTTTGTCACAAGCATATAGTTAACAAAAAACTCTGTTTTTGATAAACCAACTTCTTCCATGTCCAAACTGCTTTAGGATTGTGGAAAATACTATGGAAAAGTCTCTGGCTTTTTTATTTAAAGTTTTTTTACGAAACGTCTTGGTATCAGGCTGGCAAGGAATTTATTATTTCCTTTTGACAATTCAAACTGCTTTGTCAGTAATTGTGAGTGTATGTTCCCACTTCCCAACCAAGCCTGCATATCTGGAGCAGATCTTCCAATGATGCCCTTTCTCTTTTAGACAAGGTGCAAAAACGTAGTTGGCCTTGCTCTTGCAGCCAACCTCTAACCATTATCACATTGTTGTAATGTTGCTTCTCTTTCTCTTTACTATAAATACTATAATGGGCACTGCTCTAAAGAGCTAGTGTCTCTTATACCATTTACTAAAATTCATTCTTGTGTTACTTGTCATTCAATTAATTATTATTTTTTTACTGTGACTGTTCCTAAGTGCTCCAAAAAATCTTTTAGTCTAGTTTTTTTCCTCAAAAATCAGTCCTTTGGAATTCACTTTCTACATCTTGTTTTTCTGATTCATATAACTTGGAATCTTTTAAGTTGCTGTTAATCATTATCTTCCTCAGCAAATTTCATTTTTTCTCTTCCAACAACTTTTAACTCTAATAGTGTTTGCTTGCACCCTTGTTGGAATTGAAAATGTTGAAAAAAGTAATAATAATTGCTTGATGAGAAAAAAACCATGAAACAGGATGGTTTTTGAGTAGTTTCTGACAACCATTTTCTTCATTGTATCTTTTTTCATAATATTCTTGTGTAGAAAAAAAGTAAAATTGACGGAAAGGTACTTAAAAAAGCTTGCTGTGCACTCAATGTACTTAAGGAAGGAACTGTAAAATTTAAAACCTTCCTAATTGTTTGTTTTACTTATCAAGGAAAATTTTTTAACTTAAATGCCTGTGTTTGTATTTAATGTTTCCAATGTTCCTGTTTGCACCTTATATTAAAATTAAAAGTGAGGGACATATTAAAAAGTTATTTATTATGAAAAATATCTTGAATTTCCTGATTTTTTTCCTACTATTTAGTGTGAATAATTTGTTAATAAATCAATTTTAAATAGTTTATTTGAAATATCTCACTCATTGCAAACTGAAAATATTATTCTAATTCTATTATTTAATGAAAAAAGCATAAGATTTATAAAATTTTATATTAAAAATTGAGGTATCAAAAAGAAATCAAAGTTTAGAACTTTTTATAACAATTAGTTTTCAGGTTTTTTTTTCTTTAATACTTTTCGTGTTTTTTCAAACAACAGCACTTTATATCAACTTTTTTATATCAAGTTAAAAAAATGAGCAATATTGCAAAGATTTAAATATAATCTTTTTTAAAAAATTGTTTCAAAAATCGAGTAGCATCCCATCCTGCCAAACTGATAGTTGTCTACAAGTAGAATTGTTTTAGACATTAAAAGTTTATATAAACAATGCGTATTAAATGTACTTTTTTACCTTATAAAAACTAACCTTGAAGGAAAATTTTCAGTAAACATAAACACACAAACAAACATTATGTACATATACTCTATTTTTACAAATCAGAATCAGACAAACAATGCAGCTATATTATTTGTCTGACTGCTTTACTTAAATTAAAAAAAATTATATATATGTAAATGAATGTATTAAATTTTAATTGGATCAAAAAAACCTATCAAACTTTTGATAAAACTTAGCTAATAGTTGCTTCAACTCCTCAATTAAACAATAATATTCTTTTATTCAAAATAAAAAGTAAACTTTAATATATATAAAAACAGGGTAAAAGTATAAACCACTCCAAAAGATATAATTAGAAAAAGCCAATCTTGGGACTATCAATTTGATTGTTTTTTTGTTTTTTTTTAAACCATTTTTAGCAAGATCTTCCTCATCTGTTATTGTTTTTACTTATCTGTTGTAAAGGCAACTTTATTTAGAAAAGATTTTTATGGTATCTAAACTTAACAAGATTAGAATATTCAAATAAATATATATATATATATATATATATATATATATATATATATATATATATATATATATATATGGCGCTACTCGACTTTCTCCCCCCCCTTCCTGTTTTTATGATTGATTTTCATAGAGTATATTATACTGATTCTAAATCATATAAAAACATAGGTCTGAAAACTTGAGGAAAGTACTCTAAACTGATGTTAAAGTATAAAAATCCACATTAAAAAACGCTAATATTCCACCATCTTTTTAAAAACATTTTAACACTGTTTTTAAAATTTAGGTAATTAATTTTTTAACTAACGACCCGGTTTTTATTGTTGTTTTTATATTTTATGATGTACATACATCGACTGACATATAGGAATTGGCGCAACTAAATGTACATGCATCGACTGACAAATAGGAATTGGCGCAACTAAATGTACATGTATCGACTGACAAATAGGAATTGGCGCGATTAAATATACATACATCGACTGACAAATAGGAATTGGCGTAAATAAATGTACATATCTACTGACAAATAGGAATTGGCGCAATTAAATTACATGATTTTGGTCAGGGTTTGGTTGGGGCAGGAAATCAATAAAAAATGCGTTTTAAATTGAAGCGTCAATAGAAACCAGGGTTTTTCAAAGTATATATATATATATATATATATATATATATATATATATATATATATATATATATATATATATATATATATACTTTGAAATATATATATATATATATATATATATATATATATATATATATATATATATATATATATATATACTTTGAATATATATATATATATATATATATATATATATATATATATATATATATATATATATATATATATATATATATATATATATATATATATATATATAGGGGTGATTGATCTTCCCTATATTTAAATATATGCATTCAAATTATAGCTTATTAAATAATGTATGTTGTTCTCCTTTCAAATTAAAATTTGTAAAAATAAAACTTTTAAATAACATCATTGGTTACTAGTTTGAGCTTAAAAGCCTTAAAAAAAATTGTAAACTAAATGTTTTACATATCTATCTGAACTCATAACTTCAAAACAAAGTAGAAGATCAACAGACAGTAAGTTTGTTTGGTTTAAAATCTGAACCTTGCTTGACATAAAGTATTGGATCCTATCTGCAACTTGTATTTGAAACAGCAATCTATATTAAACAAAAAGTTGACCATTTTCAGGTGCTTGCTTGACTGAACTTTAAATGATCTTAAATTACTTTATCACAATTGCTATTGGCGTTGAACTAAATTTCCATTTCCAAATTCATATACTTGTTTATAGTAAATGAACAACAACAGAACATAAATCTATTTGATAAAAACATTTTACCACGCATGACCAATAATTAAATATTCACACAAAACCATTGCATAAAACAAATAATTTAACAATGCTTTTTGCATCTTAAATACTTAATTATTCGCCAAAAAATAAACATTACGTCACCTAACTTTACGCTATGGAATCATGTTTCTACCCGCTGAAATTTCCTGACAAATGGTAGGTTAATTCCTAAAGCAGTTTCTAAAATACGTTGCGATCATAAGCACTAAGTCATGTAATAATTGAATTCTTACTTATATGTGTTTAATGCTTTTATGTGTTTAATGCTTAGCTTTGTGTGTTTAATTTTAAATTTTGGCTTTAAATTTGAAAAAAGTAATAAGATTTTTTTGTTTTTTACAAATTACCGATGGAGATGGATAAAGATAAACAGAAAGGCCTTGATTGGTTTGTTAATTTAAATTCAGAGCTAAGGCGTGAAAATCAGGAATTAAATTTTAAAAATAAAAAACTAGAAACAGAGTTATTTTTCTATAAAAAAAGTTCAGAAGAATCAAAAGAAACAATTTCGAGGATATTAAAGAAAAACGATTCTAATGAAATGAGCTATATATTTTTAAATGAATCAGCAAGAAAATTTCTAAAATACTTATCTGAAGAAAGCTGTAAGATGAAAGAAATCATTAAAAACAAAGATATCTCCTTAAATGTTTCTAGTTTCATTGAACAAAAAATAAAAATTGAGGATTTGCAAAACCAGATTGATAGTCGGAATATTGAAATCAGTACTCTTAAAAAACAAGTTGAAAACAATAATGAAGTTAGTAGTCTTTACTCAAAAATATCTTCTTTGAGCATCGAGAACTTTAATTTAAAAATAGAATTGTTAAGTAAACAAAATGCTATGGACTATTTACAGACATCTTTAAAAGGGTTTCAAAGTAACCTTGTTAAAATTTTTTGCGATTTGTACAAAGTATATGGCAACACCTTATTAAATAAGTTAAAAAGTGATTTGATATTTTCTGAATGTCTTGTACCAGAATTCTCCTTTGATGATAATAAAAATCAAAATTTGAATGATGAACTTAATCAATGCAAAAAAGTCATTAAAGATTTATCAAATCAGATAAATCTTTTAAAAGATGAACTTAATCAACACAAAAAAGTCATTGAAGATTTATCAAATGATAAAAAAGAAAATGAGCAAACATTGAACGCTGTTCTTAATGAAATTGTAAGCTACTTATAATTTTTTTAGTTTTAAGTATCTTTAAAAAGAATTATACCTACTTACATACTTACATACTACCATAGGGCTAGTGATTGAGTGCTATTGCTGCCCGTGCAAATGATTTTTTTTGTGACAACTTGACCACAATTGCTTACATGTTTTGATAATTTAAATATTTTAAAAATGCGCTGAAAATAGAAATGCTAAGCTCAAAAAGAAAGTAATATTTAAAAAACAATTTAAGTAAAAACAATTCCTTGCGAAAAAGAAATATATAAGCACTATAGTAAAAATAAAAAAACTTAAACTCAAAGCCAAACTTTTTTTACATTTTTAATTGCGTTTGAAATATGTTATTAAAACTTATCTTTTTAAACGTTTTAATAAAGTTATGCAAAACGCTTTTAATTTAAGTAACAAATTACTACTAATTGTTTTGCTTTTTTTTTTTTTTTTTTTAAAGTTTTCAAAAAAAAATTAAAAAATTTATGTAGTCTTTTTAAAATAATTTAAGTTTTAATTCTCTAATTTTTAATAACTTCATTCTCTAATTAGTAAGTCAAGTGAAAAAAGGTTTTAAACTTTTTTTATTTGTAATAACAGAAAGAAAAAAAAACTAGCAATTTAATTTAATTTTTAGTTGAGCATTACAAGCAATTTGTAACTTTATTAAAAAGTGTTTCACATAATAAATTAAAAGTTAATATAAAAGATTTACACTCATTCCTTGCCTGATGAAAAAAAAAAAAAAAAAGTTTTTTTCAAAAAATAAAGTGCTTAGAAGATTTTGAATAATTGTATGTTTAATTATAAAAATTAATCGTATGAGCATTACAAAATACTTTAAAACTTTTTCATTAATCAACAAAATACATGCTTATATAAGTAAATAAAGTTATTTTATATTTTTGTATAATTCATATAAAATGTCCCTAAAGGAGATCTAAGCAAATTATCACAAAAAAAGTTCTGAACTTATTCATAAATTAAAGTAACTTAATAAATATTCTTTCAAATAATGTTTTACAGTAAAAAAATGAAAGTTAAAAGATTAAATGTTTTTAAAAGCATTGTATTCTTTTAATTTGTGTTTTTGTGGTTTTTTAATCCTAAATAGTTCCACAATTAAATTAATGGGTTTTGTTATAATCTAACCTTAATTTTATCAGTTTAAGTACCACAGACAATCCAAGAGCGTTTTTTACCACAAACTGTATATCTAATTCCTTTAAGATAGGTACATATAAATATATTTTTGCAATGTATATGTTAATTAACTTTTTTAGTCAATTCTCATCTAAAAAATAAGAAAAGTTTAGAAAAAAAAACAAACAGTTTATATACTAAACTAAGACAAATATAAAGAAAATAACTTCCTGATTTTTTCTATATTTTTTTTTGCATGTTTTCAAGATTTTTAAAATACGACTCGGATAATATCTGTGAGTGACAAATAGGGCAATATTTATACATTTTTTTTTCTTTTTTTTTTTCAAAAAAATGTGGAGGTGGAATAGAAAGTCTGTATTTTATTCTGATCAGTGATAAATGTATTGCTCATTCTTTATTTCCACATATGTATGGCCTTTTATTACCTAAACAAAATATTGAAATTTGAGTTATAATTGTTTAATTTGTTTAAATTTTTTGAATTATTATTTATTGAAATAGGGTAATCAAAAAGTTTTGAACAACAAAATACAAGAGTTGGAGCGTCAGTTATTTTTTGCAAACAAAGATAAAGAATCTGTAAGTCTTATTTTATGTTGTTAATTGTAATTATTTATTAATTTATTAATTAAGAATAATTATATAGTTGTTAACTTGTATACTGTTTGTTAACTAATTGTTTTAAAAAGTCATAAAACTTTTTAAAACAATTCTTCATTTTAAAAGTCAATGTGGCGAATTAAATAAAAAATTGGTATTTACTCATTTTTTGTTAACTATTATAATATATCTTTATAATAACTTTGAACAGTCAAGTTAAAATTTAGAATTAAATGAATTTAAAATGGTACCAAATTAAAAAGGCAGAATTAAAATGTCTGAGGGATTTGGTCGGGGAAGCATGTAATATATTGGTATATACAATATATAGACCTTCTTTGTGAAATAAGCTAAATGGTTAAAAAGAGAAAGAAAAAAAAAAGGAATTAACCAGTGACAATAAAGATTTGTTGTTTATTTGAAAGAAATCCTGGCTTGTCAAATAGGGAATGATAAATACAAAGTTTCTGATTTTTTTTCAAAAGGATTTCTTTTAAATAAACAACAAATCTTTATTGTCACTGGTTAATTCCTATTTATTTTTTTCCTCTTTTTAGGTCTATATATTGTATATAGACCTATTAATATATTAAATGCTTTTCAAATAGGAAATGATAAATACAAAGTTTCTGATATTTTGGTAAAGTAAAGAAAGAATTATTACAATTAAAAGTCTTTCCAAGCAATTAAATACCCTAATCACTTTAACAAACAAAATTCCAGTCCTTGTTTAACTATGATAAAAAGTGGTCAAGAAAATAATATTTGTACCAAGAAAGCTTAAATCATAAAATTTTCCTTAATTTTGTGTCATCAAAAATTACTGAGATGTTAGGAAAGGACATTTTTGTAAAACAGTGATATCTATTTATTCAGTACAATTAATTTAGTAAAATTTGATGCAAAAGTATCACCTATGATAAACAGGAAAGTTATATTGGCACTATCATCATTATGTTATGCAATCAAAGTCTTTGTCATGTTATTCAGTTTAATTAACGTTAGTCTAGTGAAGTTTTAGTTTCTTTCCTTATTATTTAGAATAATTCATCATATATTTTTGTTTTTAATAAAATAATTTCAATTTAAAATTGTACATTTTTTTAGATAGACTTAAAATTTCAAACTGTAACTGACAACGCTTATAATTTTTTTCTTACTTATTTGACAACAGCTGTTTTGATGTTATTACAATTTATAAGCAATTTAAAAATCATTATGTTATGAATAACTATTGATCTATTTAAAAAAATTTATTTTATGCAAAGTCTTTAAATAAAAACAAATCAAAAATTAATTATAAAGATCGTTTAAAAATAATTGCGTTATGTGTAAACATAGTCTATAGAAATATACTATTAAAATATAGTCTATAGAAATATACCTATATTTATATTTAAAATATAAATATAGGTATATTTCTATAGACTATGGTGTAAATTAAATGTTATATTTAATTTTTTTTTATTAGGTATATATTTATATAATAAATTTAAACGTTTGAAACTATTTTTCCATGTCTTCCTAAAAATCTTTTAAAAGATTATTTTTTTAAGTTACTTTAAATTATGAATAAGTTAAATTAAATTAAATCTTCCTATTATTTAATTGCTTAATTTTCATTTTTTTGTTTCTGTTTATACAATTGTTAAAAAAGTTTTTTTTTGAAACTTGACTTACTAATTAAATCATGAAATGATTAAAAATTGCGATATTTTAAAAAAAAATGTTTTTTTTTAAACAATCGCAATTTTTAATCATTTCATGATTTAATTACTAATTAAATCATGAAATGATTAAAAATTGCGATATTTTAAAAAAAAATGTTTTTTTTTAAACAATCTTTTTTTGCAACTTTTTGAAAAAAAATGTTTATACAAAATAAAAATATTAAATTTCTCTTTTGTTTTCAATAATAAAAAAATTTGTTAAACATTCATTTATTAAACAATCATTTATTAAACAATCAATAGAAGTATTTTGTAAAAGCGATAACTTTTATCAAATATTTTAAAAGATCAGTTTTAAAGTAATTTTTTTCAAATGCAATTAAAAACGTAACAAAAAGTAATTTCTACTTCAAGTTTTTTTAGTTTCATTTTAAAGCTAATTTATTTACTTTTTTGTAAGGAATTGTTTTGCCTTAGTTTTTTTAATTTTTTTCCAAGTTTAGGTTAACGTTTCTTTAAAGTGCATTTCTAAAACATTTAAATCATCAAAACATTTAAAACAGTCGTGGTCAATTAACAAAAAAAAATCATTTGCGTGGCAAAATCAGCAAAAGCGTTTGATCGCACGCCATTTATGTCCAAACTTTATTTTGTAAAATTTAATTCCTGTCGGTCAAAATATCCGATCATAATTACTGTTGGTTAGAAAACAATTACAACAAGTTACATTTGCTGTGCTGCTTTATTTAATGCCAAAGTTATTGATATTAGAAAATAGTCAGTATAAATTCTTGTTACATTTTATGAACATCAAAGTCTCAAATTTGTGGGCCTTGAGTCTGGTTCTTTCAGGATGATAGATCTTGCCCGCAATACTGAAAACTTTATCTACTGGTGCAGATGTCAATCAGGGTTAGAATTCAAGGTTAAATTCAATTTTGAAAAGTACACGTAATAATAGCTATAATTGCATAGTATTGTAATATTATTTCACTTACCGACAGGTGAGTACAAAGGTTTGAATTTGCCTTTATTGAGTATGAAACTAACTCTCCCCATGTTTTGCATTTTATTTTTACATTGTCACCATTTGGTTTTGAGCTACCTTCATCAGTGATAGAATCAATTTCATAATATTCGAAAGTTAAAGCTGCATCTGACTTTTATTCATTATAGCTTACATGTAAACAGTAAAATGATTTAATTAATATAAATTAAACAGATTCATGAAAAGTAAATGTAATTGAAATATTTCAATTACACCAAGGCAATTACAATTACACATGGGGCAATTACAATTACAGTTACATGTAATTGGTTAAAGAAATAAACCCATTATATATACAATTACTTTATAAATTGTAATTAATTACAATTAATTAGAATTAGAATTGTAATTACCCATGACTGACATATATATATATATATATATATATATATATATATATATATATATATATATATATATATATATATATATATATATATATATATATATATATATATATATATCAGACATATATCCCTTTATCTTAATTTTTTTCTATGAATTGTCAACCGATATGCATGCAAGTTATAATCAAAATAATTGTTGCGTTGTGGGGTAATAAAAATCACAAAAAAAATTTTTCTATGTGTCTTTATTAACATGAGAGTATATTTGATATACAAAAGTTGATATACCAAATTTTTTAAATTGGAATATATCTATAGACACAGTCATATTTTTGACATTAAAAGATGGAAATTATTAATGCGTATATCCTCCATTACACTGTATCACCTTAAAAATTCTGCCTTTCATACAGCAAATTTTTTAAAAAATTATTCCGTTTTTTTTTTTTTTCTTAAAAAAATGTTATAAAAATGGAAAAAAAAAATCTCAATTTTTGTTTTTCCTCTCAAAAAGAAAAAAAGGGGATTTTGTCTGGAGTAAAGATGGCATTTTAAATAAACACTATAGGCCGGGTGAATAAAAATGTGCATTTGCTTTTACTTTGTAATTGGTCAGCTTTAATGTAATAAAAACTTCAGCAGTGAATAAAAACTTCAAGAGTTTTGCTGAAGTTTTTATTCACTGCTGAAGTTTTTATTATATTAAAGCGTGAATAAAAACTTCAGCAGTTTTGCTCAAGTTTTTATTCACGTAAAGTTAAGCAATTTACTCAGTAATTGTTCAGCTTTACGTAAATAAAAATATAGCTGAAATTCTTTAACTTTTTATTCACGTAAAGCTGACCATTTACTGAGTAAAAGCAATTGCTCGTTTTTATTCACCCGGCCTTATAACACTCATGAACAGAAAATATAATAAATGAATTTTTAATTGAAAAAATTTTGAACTATTTTGAATTGTTATTTATTGAAAATAGAAAATCCAAGAATTTTCGAACACCAAAATACCAGAGTTAGAGCGTCAGTTAAAATTAGAAATTGAAGGAAAAAATTTTATAAGTCTTTTATTCAATATAGCTAATTATATTTAGTTTAATTTTTATTAAACATAATTATGTAATTTTTAACTTGTATACTGGTTTATATTTTTTTTAGTTTAAAGAAAGATGTGCTGAATTGAATAAAAAATTGGTATTTATTTATCTTTTTTGTTAATTTTTATGATATAAAAATATAAACAAACTCACTTATCTAACAAAATTTTTTTAAACTCTAATGGATATATCTTCTAATTAGTCATAACATTATTGTTAAGCTTTCTTAACCTTTCTTTTTTAATTTGTTTAACCTTTCCAAGTAGTCCTAAAAGTAATCAAAATAATGCTAAAATGAAATGAAAAGAAAAAAACCAATTGGCAGCTATTTTAATAACCCTAGACCTGGTTAAAAACTATATTTGCTAGGATTATTATTCTTGACTCAAAGAAAATTCAAAAAAGTTATATATATATATATATATATATATATATATATATATATATATATATATATATATATATATATATATATATATATATATATATATATATATATATATATATTCTCTTTATCGTGCTCGCCATTTCCTTACTTCTGATTTCATTCTCTACCTCTACAAATCTCTTATTCATTCCTGTATGGAATACTGTTGTCATATTTGGGCTGGTTCTTCTAACGATTCACTTTCTCTTCTTGACAAGGTCCAAAAACGCATTGAAAATGCTGTTGGACCTGGACTATCTGCTAAGCTTGAACCTCTTTCCCATCGTCGTAAAGTTGCATCTCTTTCTCTTTTCTACAGATAGTATCATGGTCACTGCTCAAAGGAGTTATCATCTCTAGTTCCATCAACTAAAATTCATTCTCGTTTTACTCGTCATTCAGCTAAGTCTCATTCGTTTACTGTATCTGTCCCTGCATTCTCTAAAAACTTTTATTCATCTAGTTTTTTTCCCCGCACTTCAATCCTTTGGAACTCTCCCATCTTCATGTTTTCCTGACTCATACAACCTTCAACTTTTCAAGTCTTCTGTCAACCGTTTCCTTGCTCTGTAACTCTGTTCTTTTTTTTTCCTAGTAACTCCCAACTTAATAGTGGTTGCTTGCAGCCTTGTTGGGAGTGAATGCAAATAAAAAATATATATATATATATATATATATATATATATATATATATATATATATATATATATATATATATATATATATATATATATATATATATATATATATATATATACATACAATCTCACTCCTTTTATTTAGTAGATTACTATTTTTATAATTTAGGATTTCATATTTTTTGGTGAGACATAATTCACAAGATTTGGATGTAGGATTATATGCTTTACATTGCCTGAGAATTTTCCACTTAACTATAGGAACTAAATTGGCTTCTTTTATTTTCCATACCTGCTTTGACAGCTCAGTATCATTTTTGTATTTTGGGATGTTAAAAGGTTTAACGTGGTTAGCGTATCTCAATACGTGGTTAGCGTATTTCGTTAGGAGATGAATCACTAGTGGTGGTTACAGTTGCTTGGTATACAATGTTGCTTGTTAAACATCTATTGGACAACGGGCAGAAATTTTTATCTAAGCAGTTACAATTTTCTTGATTAGAGTTTGTATCTTTCTATAAAATGTATTTGTTGTGCGAATTTATGATTGATTTCACACTTGGCATACAACTGTAGCTAACTTTGACTGTGTTCCTGTTAAAGATTACAAACTACATAAAATCTTTAACAGGAACACATCCTAAATTATAAAAAAAAAAATCTACTAAATAAAAGGAGTGAGATTGTTTCTAAGTGCAGACATAGAAACAGATTCCTCCTTTCTCAATTTGACACTGGCGATTAGAATAGATGTTTTTTCCATAATATTATTATTATTGCTATTATTATTATTATTATTATTATTATTGTTATTTTTGTTATTATTATTATTATAATTATTATTATTATTAATGCTATTATTTGTATTATAACTATTTGACGTCAGAACTCATCCCATTGTTTTTTTTGAATTTTGTAACGGTTTTTTAATTGTATTTTTGAACGGTTTTTTCTTGATTTAAATATATGGCTGAGGAGTGCCGAAAACGGCATGAAACTTTAAGTACCGTAAAAAAGTTGTTTTTTCTCATTTAACCTTTTATTTATATATATATATATATATATATATATATATATATATATATATATATATATATATATATATATATATATATATATATATATATATATATATATATATATATATATATATATATACGAATTTGCTGATAATCTTAATTCAATAGAATGCAGGAGTTGCTCATAAATACTGGATGGGTGGTTTGATTCAACATGAATGTAATTTAAAGAGTTTCCAGGTTTAGAGTAAGGTTGGTTAAGTAAGCGAGGAAATCTTTCAAAAATTCACTCCTATGTATAATAAAGCATTAAAAAAGTCCGGTTTTAATTACAATCTTTTTTACCAACCTAACTTAGAATTATCTTACACCAAGAACCATAAACGTAACATCATTTTGTTCAACATCCTTTTTAGCAAAAATGTTAGCACAAATATAGGAAAAATATATTTAACATTAATTGATAAGCACTGTCCTATAAATCACAAGTTCCACAAAATTTTTTGAAACAGAAACACATTAAAAGTAAGTTATAGCTGTATGCCGAATATGAAATCTGTTTTAAATGCCCACAATCGTCATGTTATAAACAACAAGAAAGATATGCTAATCACATAAAATCTTTTAAAATTCCCAAATACAAAAATTACACTGAATTATCAAAGTAGGTTTGGAGATTAAAAGATGAAAACTTGAACCCGGTTGTTAGGTGGAAAATAATTAAACAGTGCAATGCTTATAACCCTGTAACAAAACGATGTAACTTATGCATAAACAAAAAGTACAAATTTTTTTTTTTTAAACACCCAAATTTGTTAAATAAAAAGAGTGAAATATTTTCTAAGTGCTGGGATAGAAACACATTTCTTCTTGCCCAATTTGACACTGGCAATTAGCAGTTTAGCTATTATGCTTCTTTTTTATTCGTTTTGATGTCGGATCTCATTCTACTGCTGTTTTTGTATTTCTTAACGGTTTTTTTCTTGATTTGTATAATATATATGGCTGAAGATTGCCGATAGTCATGAAACTTTTAGTTCGATTATAAAGTTGTATTTTTCTATTTAGTTATACTTTATATATATATATAAAATATATATTGATCTATTTTGTAAAAATTGCTTTTACATTATATTGACCACTCTTAAGTAAACAAGAGGATTTGTATCTCAACTAGATACAATAATAAACAACATATATATATATATATATATATATATATATATATATATATATATATATATTATATATATATATATATATATATATATATATATATATATATATAAATTTAGTAAAAACACTCATCTAAGTTTTTTGCTTTTTAACAGCATTTTTCACCATCACTAGGTTCATCAGGAAGTTCACCATCAGTAGGTTCATCAGTTCATCTTCCTGATGAACCTTCTGATAGTTAAACATGCTGTTGAAGAGCACAAAAATTAGATAAGTGTTTTTACTAAATTATTATTGCTCTGTTCTTTAAGAACATTAAGCACGCTATTTGTAGAATATACTTACATAATTTATATATATATATATATATATATATATATATATATATATATATATATATATATATATATATATATATATATATATATATGTGTATATATATATATTTATAATAATAACTTAAAACAAAATTCATCTAAAAATATTTTTCTAAAAGTAACCATTTTTTTTTTTAATTAAAAGTTTAAAAGTTGGTTTTTTTAAAACTTTTTTTTTTTTAAACAAACTTTGGTTTACTTGAACTAATTTCAGAGAATTATTTAGCAGTTAAGTTTCAGGGAAATAAAATGTACCAGAGGTTCAATTTAAATTAAAAATAAATATTATACTTTAAATAACGAACTAAAAAATAATGAATTAGAAAATTTTAAATATTACAAATAACACAAAAATATATATAGTATATATACTATATATACTAGGTTTTTGATTATGTGTTATATCCTGTAATTACTTTATCATGAGTTAAATGATATTTTGTGAGTAGTTAGATGATATTTTGTGAGTTTTCAAAAAACTACTTATAAAAATTTTTTAAAACATAATGTTTGACCAAAAATCTCTAAAAAGCGTTTTACTCTAACTTTGGTTTTAATATATCTTTATAGTAATTAATCATTTTTGTTTAGGAAGCTAATCAAACACCGGTTCATTCTAATTATATACCAAAGGTTTGTTAGTTCAATATATATGTTTTTTTTTTGGATGTGCAGTTTACATTACAATTTTTGTATATAACTTACCTTGTTTTTTTCTTACTCTTGTACCCGAAAGACAAAAAATTTTAGCAGGCATTTTTATTCACTGCTATTGTACCACTACCACCTGATCTTGCTTTGCAATGTTTATTTAAACAGGTTTATTATGCATGACTATTATGCATGACAAACTACTATGCATATCTGCCCAAATAAATCATACCCAGTTTTAAAAGGTTTACGTTTAGTCAAAATTATTATATTCAAAAACATTATATTTTTTAGTCAAAAAATATAATGCTTTTGACATCAAAAGCATTATATTCAAGCTTTTTTTTATGGTAAGCATTAATTCAAGCTTTTTTTTATGGTAATGCTATTGTTATGATATATATATATATATATATATATATATATATATATATATATATATATATATATATATATATATATATATATATATATATATATATATATATATATATATATTTATTTATTTATTTATTTTTATGCCATTTATATCTGTTGAGTGATGTTTTTTTATAGTTTTCACAAGAACCTTTTGCATTATCTCCTTTAAACCCAAACAATTTTCAACGAAGTACTTTAGTGTGTGATGGTGGAACTGTTGTAAGAGATGGTGCTAAAAGTGCTGAAAAACAAACAGTAAGATTAGAAGGGTTTTATAATTTTTTTTTTTTTTATTTAAAGGTAGTTATATCATTATTATAATTGATTTCATAAAATGTTTTTTTGTTTAGAAAAACCAATCACTTCACTTAAGCATTTCTGATTCTAAATTTGACATAGTATGTTGATAATATAATCTTTGTATTCTTTTATATAACTAAAATCAAAGAAGATATTTTTTTTTTTGTTAAACTAAAATCAAAGAAGTTTTTTTTTTCGTCTAACTAAAATCAAAGACGACATAACATGAATGTTTTAATCATAAAACTAATAAACATAAATATTTTAATGTTTTTAGTACAGACCAAAAGATCTGAGTCATGAAGTTGTCAAAGGTCAGCGAGATGTAAAATTTACTCCAACATCTCCACAGGTAAACATTTATTCACAAGTTTCCTTTATATTTTTAAAAATTTTTTTATCTTTTTTTAAATGTTTTGGTATTTTTGTGTTTAATTGAAGTCAAAAATAATTAGGTGTGCGTGTTTTGTTTTAATTATGTGTGTGTTGCCACCAATAGTTTGACAATAGAGTTATAATGATCAATAAAAAGGTAGTCATTTACTTAATTTGAACCTTTAAAAAATCCATTTAAAATTTTGCATCATTTCTTACCTTTTTTTTTGATTAGGACCACTTTCTCAAGGTCCTGAGGGCTCCAGAGAGGGTACTACAGTCAAGGAGGCTGCTCTTTTTTTATTTTTATCTCAAAACTCCTAATCCTGTAAAGTCTGATTAAACAAGGTCACTGTGTTGAGAAACAGGCTAAGGGTTTTACTTCCAGAGGCATAGGGTGAATTTGAATCTAGATTCTCTAGTTTGTGATCTAAGTATTCTGAGTATCCAAGCAACTATCAGAGAATGTCACAAATTTCATTGTTTTAAAGGAATCCTAGACATCCGAGACATGTTGTGTTCATATTAAAGAGAATAATACAAAAAAATGTTTGGGCTGAATTTTTTTTTTTTTTTTGAGGTTTGGGATCCCTTTAAAATTGAATGCTTCCCAAAAGGCATATTTAATAAATATCTAAATGTTAAAACATTTTAATACATTTTATAGATGTATAAATTATTTCTTGTGGCCGCTGAGTTAGAGTGTGTAAAAATTTAATTGAGTTAAGTATCGATGATTGAACTTTTTTTCTAGTTTGTAAATTTATTTTTACTCAAATTATTGCTATTTTAGAAACAGGAGTGTGTATATTGTTGCGAACGTCATCCATTAGATGAGTTAGAAGCACATCAGAAGCTATGTGAAAGCCGATTTGATTGAAATCTAGTGAAAAATGTAATTATAAAAAGTTTTTTTTTAAACTGTTTTTTTTAATTAACATATTCAATGAACAAGAATAAAATGACCCACACAAAAACTAAATCAAAGTCACTTAAATAATAAAATTTTTTTTATCTACACAACCACATCTTTCAAATACAAAATCTTATCAGCATTCTGGAATAAAAAAAGAAAAAAATATTTGAACAGTTAAAAACATTAAAATAGCAAATGAATAAGTATAAAAAGTCTGTTTTAATTTTTTTTTTTCTTTAAAATTATTAAAGTTTTCAAACATTCAATTTATATGCAGAGATGTTTGTTTTTTTTAATTAGCAGTTCTTCTGTTTTTTATTTTTAGGTTATTTTTTTCTTTAATTCTATTTTAAGGTTTATTTTTCTGTACTTACACTCACACACACACATGTACACGTCCTCACAAACAAGTATATAATATATATATATATATATATATATATATATATATATATATATATATATATATATATATATATATATATATATATATATATATATATATATATATATATATATATATATATATATATATACTCAAAATTAAAAAAAAGAATTAAGACCAATTTTCCACCAATACCTCCACATTATATAATATTTTTACTTATCATATAAACTTGTTTATATTTTGAATTATGCTATTTTAAGTTAAAATCATTGTGTTTAAAAACTTATTAGATAAGAACCAACAAAGTATTTATATCTTTATTTTAATAACTATGAAGCTCACTGACTTTGATTTATTTGAAATTTTCATTGATGAGGAAAAAAAACAACCAAAAAATAATTCTGCAAATATAACAGGTTATATACTGGCTATATAACTGCTAAGGCACTTGGCTCTGATGAATTGACAAAAATTCAAATCAAATTTTTTTTTTTTTAACTGCTTGTTTTAATATATTGCCTAGTTGGAAACATCTCAGAAGAACACAATCTAAATTAACAACAATTATTATGAATTATCTTGAACTTTATTCTTGTGTTTACTTCAGTTTATTTCCGGCTATTAAAGTGACATGCTAAGGATATTAAAGAATATTTTTATAAACATTTAAAATATACTAATGAAAAGTTTGGATTTTTGGAAGTCATGTAATATTAAATTAAAAAGGTACACTAGCAATATCATACTAACAATGTTTTGTCCATTTTCACTTGAAACAGAAGCAGGTTTTTTAAATATGGTTGCAAAAGCCATGAAATGCCCCACTGAATCACAAAGCGCTGAGTCTTAAAATGAGAACATAATCAAGAAAAACTTCAATCATTGTCTGTCTTTAATTCTAACATAGAAGTTTAAAAATGAAGGCTTCTTTATGTAAAAAGAGAGAAAATAATTTAATGTCAAGGTGGTAGTGCAGTCATATATGATGGGTATGAAAGTAGCAAATCTTTTTTCATAAGTTAAAGATGCATATTGTGATCATGTGCACATGTTTACAAGATCAGTGTTTGAATATTGAAAGAGTTGAAAATGTTTTGTAAACAATCAAGACACTATAACTATGAATGGAATATTTAACCAACTTGAACAAGAAGACGTTTTTTTACTTAAAAAAACCTCAATTATATTACAAGGGCTGGACAAACCTTCAAACTAATTCCAACCTGTGATGTAAAGCCAATACAAGTAAGTTGGTATCTTGTAATACTGTTCATATTGTTCTATATTACTAATATGTGAACATACTTGATATTAAAAATTATTACATTTAAAAATTACTGATATTTTTATAGGTTCTTCATGCTTTACTGGATATGTTTGACCATTGAATGAAAACTGCTGTACATGTGAAAGTTGGTGTTTTTGATTGGTCTGAGTCAAATAGATTTTTAAAGCAAGCAGAGACTTCATTACTAAGCATCTGCATCTTCTCGCATACTCTCGGAAGTTCGGTTTGACACAATAAAAAACAATAATTTTTTTGTTGCGTGTCGTATTTACTAAACAAAAAAATATCATATTGTTTTGTATCGTATTTTTACGAAACAAGTAAAGCTTGTTTCGTTTTGTGCTTTATTTTTATGAAACAAGAAAATTTTGTTTTGTTTTGTATCAGTTTTTATGGAACATTTCATAATTCCCCCGCCCAAAACAGATATTCCCACACCCCCGAGCAATACATGAGCTTTAACATTCAAGTAGAATAAATGTGCATTTAATACTAACTTAATGTTTCATAAATAAAAGTTTAACTGAAAAGTTTAACTTTAATTCGTTTCCTACCAATTATTTTTTGTACTTTATTTAGTTTAATCTTATTTCGTTTCGTACTAGTTATTTCATTCATTATTTAGTTTAACCTTTTTTCGTTTGGTTCTGGTTATTTCGTACTCTATTTAGTTTAACCTTATTTTGTTTTGTACCAGTTTTTACAAAACAGAAATTATTGTTTCAAATTGTACTGTATTTTTTTACGAAACAAAAAAATTTTGTTTTGTTTTGTTTTATACCGTTTTTTGCAAAATTGTATAAACATTATTTGGTTTTGTACCGGTTTTATCATAATAATATTTTTTATTGTTTCGTCTTGTACCGTTTTAAGACGCAGGTGCTTAATCATAACAGAGATATTTAAAAAAACAAGTATAAAATGGGACTACCCTGATAGATTTCAAAAAAAAGGAATAACAACAACAGGTTATATAGCTAGAGAACTATTACACACAAAAATCAAACAGGGATTTAATTATTGCACAATTGTCTGTTTAATATCATGCAACATTTCAAAAGTTTAAATTAGTATTCTCATTAATTTTTTGAATATTTTCCTCAAAATGAAAAATTTATGTGGAATATAAAAACTATTGTACAGATTTTTATTTATTATAACGAGATATTTATATAACGAGTTTCTACCTGTTGCAAAAATGAATTTACCTGGATAATGGATCAGTATAACACAATCCCTTCATTGCCATTTTTTGGAACTAATTTTGAATAATGAAGAAAGTGATTTGGGAAATCTTTATGATTCAGAATTAAAAGGTAATAACAAAATACATTGATACATACTAGACTTACAAAATACATTGATACATACTAGAAAAAATTCCTAAATTGTCAATTTAACAGACACCATTAACTGAATGTGGATATCCTATAATCATATTTTTTTAACAAGAAATACAAACCAAAATCATTCTGCAAATTTTGGTATGAATGAGGACATTCTGAAAAATATTCTTATAAATAAAATATCTCTTATAACATTGTATCTGAAGATGACACATATTTTAAAATGTTAACATATGAAAAAATTATGTATTTTAGTACTTTGATAATTTTTATTGTTTTTGCTATTGATGTACCTATGTTATCTTTGTATTACAAAATATACATACATATTTATAAACATTTATACGTATTTTAACCAATAAAAAAAGTAAATTTTATGAAATTTTCAATATTTTGTCTTTTTCAATTATGACCTAAATATCCTGCAGCAAAATTCTTTGTTTAGTTTTCCCAAAATTTACATATAAAAACCTTTCCAAAAAGTTTTTAACCAAGCCCATAGCACTTTCCATTCAAAAGTTATGAACCGAATTTCTGTAAACAGCTGTTTGGCCCACTGTGAGTGTATAATATAGTGGCCCACTATATCTTTACAATATGAACGTCTGCTGCAAACAAAATATTCCAACTTTCCACTTAATGATTTTTTATCAAAAAAAAATCTGTAAAATTAACACAAAAAATAATGTAAACAGTTATTTATGTACATCAAATAATAATTTAATTGATAAATATATTATCTACATATTTGTATAGATAGTTTTTGGTTACTTAGTGTTATTGCAAATGAACCCCTAACTTAAAAATATTACTATAACCTTTATTGAAAGATAAAATAAAAACACCATTTATTTTTCTGAGAAATATACCCATACTGGGGAAAATACCCAGTAAATTCTTATTAAAAAAAAAAAAATTGAATCGCTGAAAACAATATTTCAAATTCAACAATTAAATTTTTTTTTTCCACCAAAGAATTAAATATTACAATAGAAGCAACTTCTATTATAGCTTGGAAAGTTGTAAGGAGTAAACATCCTTACACCAATGGAGAGTTTGTAAAACAAAATTTTTAAGATGTGATCTCAGTTTTATATCTTGATAACAACAAAATTTGAATTTCAAATATTTCCATTTCTTAACATACAATTTGAAATCTGAAATTTCATTGATGTCTTATAACATCTGTCTAACAACATCTGAAATTTAATTGGTATCTAATAACATCTGTGCAAAAATTAAATGAATTTTACAGATGTAGTTACATCTTTTAAATTATCAAAGTGTATTAACATCTGTGCAACAACAACGTCTGTATTGGTGAAACTACATCTGTAGATTTTAAGATGAAGTTATTTTTAAAATGAATTTTTTTCAGATGTTATTACATCTAGAAAAAAATATTAACTAATAATGCATTATTTTAACTAGATGTTATTACATATAGAAACTTTTTCAGATGTAACTACATCTCGAAAAAAAATTAACTAATTGTGCATTATTTTAACCAGATGTAGTTACATATAGGATTTGTTTCAGATGTAGTTAAATCTGGAGAAAATTTATCCAGATGTATTTGGAGAAAAGTTACATCTTCTTAAGATGTTGTTTGGGGTCATTAAATTTTCAGATGATCTTGGACAGATGTTATTAGAGTAAAAGAAAAATACAGATGATCTTGGACATTATTTAAGTCAGGGGAAAGTCCACGACCTTTTTCAGTAAAACTAATAATTTTTTTAAGTTAAAAATCTCTAAAACAAAATTGATAGAACCAATGTTAGTGCAATATGAGATGGCATTTTGGACTTAATAAATATTTATAGTCAGTCAGCATCTTGACCAAGTTTGAACTCATAAAATAAAATTTATAAAGATTTTGATTTTCCATTGTAAATTCGATTTGAAAATATAGTTTTTAATTTTTATATACTAATTAAATATTAATTAATTATATAAATATACAAATTATCAAACATAAGTTTAAATTGAGCAAAAGTTGTGGTTCAAAAAAAAAAAAAAACTTAAAATTATTTGCATATTTAATCATTATATTCCATCCATTAATTTCCCATGATTAATGGATGCAGAACTTTAAAGTATTACGTATAATGTGAATTTTAAATACTTTCTAACAGACTTTATGATTGAGGTATATAAAAAAATGTACTCAAACGTACGCAGTTATTTTACTGGTTTATAGTTAACCATTAATAATTAACCATTTTGCAAATCAGTATGCATCATGCCTATTACCTGTTTTATAAGCAAATAGTTAAATAACAAATAGCAAAAAATATCAGCCTTTAACTGACATATGCCAACTGCTAACTAAAGGCCCAAATTTGCTAAATAATTTTTGAATAAAGTTCTAATTAGGGGTTTACACACCCCCTACAACTAAACATACCTTAGAGGTGCACTAAGAGCCCAGGGATGGCTCTTAGTGCACTCTCCAAGGTATGTTTTTAACATTTTAAATATTTTTATTTAAAATATTTTTGCAGTGATTTTTTTTTTTAAGTTTATTATAAATTTCTTCAAAGTATTTTTGAAGTATATTTGAACATTTTTTCCTCTATGATATTATTTACTTTTTTTTAGATTCGATTTAAGTTTAAGCTATACAGATTTTCTAATGAAGAAGCATAAGAAAAAAAAAAAATTCTGTGCATCGTTATCTCTAATTGTATTTAAAAGTTTTTATTTTTATTTTAAAATTGTTTGTTAAAACAAGTTAGTTCATCAAATATGTGGGGCTTGGACTCGACTTTCAAAAGTAGCACTTGTGTTAATATTAATCTAACGCGACATAATAACAATGACGTGTACAGTCTGTATCATTAATTGAACGTTAATGAAGCTTTTTATTGAAATGTATGAAAGTTTTAATAAACACTTAACGTCGCTTTTTGTCGTCGTTTTTTTTAAATATTTATGATGCATTTTTGTTTTGTTAAGTGGTATTTTGATTAAAAATATATCACGTTAAATCTCTTTATATAAGGAACCATCCACAGATGATTTTAACATAATTTAGGCTATTTATATTTTTTTCAAATTTTTTTCATATTACAATTTTTACTTTAAATAGAAAACGCTTTTAAATTTTTTTTTCATCATTCATCAAAGGGGCTGTTCATATGGATAAAAATCATACCGCCTAACCAGGGTACCCCGGTTAGGCGGGATGAATTTCAGCTGTGTTCATATGGAAAAATCATCTCGCTCTAGCGGGACGTTTTTAAGATCATGTGACATTTGTTTATATATAATCATTCGCGCAAACTATTTAATTAATTATAAACTATTTTTGTTTTTATACGTGTTTGAACGATTTAAACTTAAAAATAATTAAATGCTCATTGAATTTCTTAGCAAAACTGTCCAGTCGAGCCGGGGTGATTTTCAACTTGTGTTCATATAAAGAATTTTCACCCCGCCTGACCGGGATCCCGGTAGTTCATTGGCAAGATCCCGCCTAGGCAGGGTGAGAAAATTTATATATAAACGCGATGTTAAAATTATAAGAAATTATTAAGATAGGCGGGACCCCGGTTGTTTTTCTGTCCCGGTTAGGCGGGATGATTTTATCCATATGAACACCCCCAAAATGTTTTAAAAAATAACTTTGATACGTTTTAAATGTCCTTGAGATATAGTTTTGTTTTTTGTCGGTATTGTTTTTTGTTTTTTAAAATTGTACATTATATTTTAAACTATGTTTAATAGTGAATACAGTTTTTTGACTGCTTTTGCGATTTAAAGAAGCCTAAATCTTCATTTTTTTGAGATGGCTAAACTTTTCTTTATTTTAATGCGAGAAGCAAACTGATTTAAAAAGAAAGACTTTTATAATAAGAATGAATTTTATTTTTGTTGTAAAATAATATGTAAAATATGTTGTAAAATAATATGTAATTATAGAAGTAATTATATCTTATTATAAATGGTTGCACATTTCTGAAGTTATTGTCTTATTATTTTACTATAACATTTATACTTTCTTGATTTCTGTAATATTTAAATTTTTATAAAAGTTTATATAAATAATGGAGTATAAACAATTGTAACGATTATATATAAAAGAAGTTTTCTATGCTTATTATACAAAAAAATATATATCGTTAACTGTTTCATAAAATATGTAAAAAATTAAATGTTAGTTCAAAATATAAAAACAAGAAATCGAAGATTAACGTAAAGTGCGTACGTCAAAAACTTAGAAGATTTAAATTTACCTCTAGATACGAATGCTGGTACAAGACCTTGTACATTCATTTTGTCTTTATTAAAATAGAATATATGAATGAATATACTTTACTAAGGGGCTGTTTATATGAGCCGGGCTAGCCCTGTTAGCCGGGCTGTCTCACTTCGGTGAAATGAATATTGTTATTAAGTTTATATGAATTTTTTCCAGCCCGCTAAACCGGGATGAAATATCTGTTTACATCACGTGCACAGTTAAAATAATTAAAAGCTGAAAAATGGATTCCTTACCATCACATAAACAAATTCTTACCTTTACAACTTTAAAAATGATCAATATACAAGTTATTAATATTCAAATTTATCTTTTACAATTTACAATGGCTATTAAAAAGAAAAGGGATTTTAATCAGCTGATAATTCTTGATTTATTGAGTTCTAGACGTCGTATTTTAAGAAGAATAAGATTAGCTAAAAAAAACAGGAAAAAAAGAAGCTGCTATTTCTATATTGGACGCACAGATTTGTGGTGGCAAAATCTCATATTAAACATTACACCTAAAGAAGCTTATAAAAAAAACTTTCGATTAGATAAAAATTCCTTTTTTGAATTTGTCTTCCTTCTTGAACCTTATATATATCCAGATTCTTACTCACCAAATATAAGAGCAATCACACCAGATAAAAAAGTTGCTATAACGCTATACTATTTAAAAGACAGTAGTACATTAAACATGACAGGAAACACTTTTGGAATTGCAGTTTGTACTACTTCAGCAGCCATTTTTGAAGTTTGTAATGCTATTGCAAAGTATATAGGACCAAGGTTTGTTAATTTACCAAAAAATAAACAGCAAATGAGAGAAAAAATATTTGAGTTTGAGTCAAAGTTTGGAATGATTCAAGCTCATGGTTGTGTTGATGGCTCTCACATTCCCATTGTTTGTCCAGCTAATCCTTCTCAAGATTATTTTTGTTACAAACAATACTATTCAATGCAGGTTCAAGCAGTTTGTGATTACAAAGGCAGTTTTTTGGATGTTGAATGTAAGTGGCCTGGTAGTGTGCATGACGCTAAAGTCTTTTCAAACTCTTCTATTAATACTAATTTGAGAAGTTCAAGACTTCCAGGAACCTTTCAAACTATTACTAAGAACAAAATAAAAGCTCCGTGCTACCTAATTGGAGATCCTGCATATCCAATACTTCCACATTGTATGAAAGAATATAGTACATGCAAGAAAAATGACGAATTCATTTTTAACAGTATGTTGAGGACTGCACGCAACCCTATAGAATGTGCTTTTGGTCGACTTAAAGTACGTTGGAAAATTTTGACCAAAAAAATGGATTTAAAACTTGAAAAAATTCCAACAGTAATTTATGCATGTTTTATTTTACATAACCTTTGTGAACGACATAGTATCTGCATTGATGAAGAGTTACTAAAAATAGTTGAGATAATAAATGAAAATGAAAATTTTTTTAGAAATTTACCAGATCCAATTTTTTCTTGTATTGACGGTGAAGGTGAAGTTATTCGCAAAGCATTAACTGAGTACATTAGTGAAAATTATGTTCAAAAGCAAACTGTTTACACAAAATAAAATCAAATATAACAAGAAACAATACTCATCTTTTGATAAAATATATTTTTTTTTTACATTTTTATTCCAGTTTTATTATGATTTCTTGTTTGACAAGTTATTGTTGAACATGTTTAAAAAAATAAAATTTATTATTGTAATAAAACAGTGAATTTTAATTATAAGCTTTTCATTATTTGTAAATATTTTAAAAAGAGTTTCTTAAAGATTTTTATTCTCTAAAAATAACTTATTTAAAAATAACTCACTTAAGACTTTTTAATGACATAAACGCTTACATGTCTAATTAAATTTATAAATAAAAACTAGTTAAGCTTGTTTGTTTCTATCGTCAATTGACTTTTCTTGGTTATCATTTTTCAGAACCTAAATAGGTTGAAAAGCACTATTGTTTTGATAAATAAAATGCTGAGGTGTAAGAGTTTGAATAGCAGATGTTTGTTGTTGGGAGATTAGTGTTCTGGAAATTAATTCCATAGAGGAACACAAACCCTTGCTTAGGTCACTAATCGATTTACTTATGTCTTTTATGCAATCAGAAAAAGATTCATTGGATTCAATTTTCCCACTGCCACTTCTTGACCCAGACACTACAGCTTTAGAAAATGCTTGTCTAATTTCTTTTGTTTTTTCATGGATTCTTTTTTTCCTCAAGAAATTAACTTTTTTTTTCGAAAAAACTCTGTCTTAAGGAGGGCTCGGTCTTGACTAGATAGTTGTTTAAAATTTAAGGGTAAATTTGGAATGTCTGATCCTGAACCAAACAAGTTTTCATCGACATATTTATTTGCCATATCTTTTCTAATATAAGAATACTGTGCTTGTTTATCAGCGTCAAAGTCTAACTTTTTAAACATCATTGAGGATTTATATGCATGTATAGACTCTATTAAATCTTCTACCATTTTTGTACTCCATTTAAAATGTTTGTTTAAACTTCCAGAAGCTTTTTTAGTTTTATTTTCATATTCGTCAGAATGTTTGCTCAAACTTCCAAAGACATCATTCGCTTTTATATTTTCTTGAGAATTTAATTCTTGTATTACCACTTCGTCAGAATGATTGCCTAAACTTCCACAAGCTTTCTTTGTTTCATTATTTTCTTTATAATTAAAATCAAGCATTTCATTTTGGTCAGACATTTTGAGAGTTTATAAAAAAATAAATGAAGCATGCGTAATATGAAAAAAACTGTCTCGCGTTGGTGGGATCCCACTCTAATCAAGTGAGATCTTAGTTATCCGGGCTAGCCCGTTTGTCATGAAAACAAGTTTAATTTTTATAAGTAAATCTTAAATCTTACGAGATCTCGTTTAAACGAGCCAGCTCGGCTAAACGGGCTAGCCCGGCTCATATAAACAGCCCCTAAAATAGAATAAATGAAACGAACAAAATAAAATAAATAAAGTGAAATGTACAAGTTCAAGAAATCATAAAATAAAGTTTATTAATCTGTTTAGTGCAAGTATTCGCTTTCTTATATATAGGTTTCTTATATATATCTTCACAGCAAAATCCAAGATTCTTGTTTTAAGCAAAAAAAGTCTTAAAACAAGAAAAAAATGTTTTGTCCGCCACGTAAGAATATTTTTTCTTGTTTCATGAATTTTTATTCTTAAAATAAGATTTTTTTTTTCTTGTTTTAAGAACGCTTTTCTTGCGTTTAAACGTTTTATATATTTACAAAACAGTTACTTATTTTTATCTATTTCTAAATATTTAATCAAAATAAAAATGGCTAAACACGAAGAATATGTATCTATAACAATGATGAAAGAAATAATGCACGTACAAAAAGAAACAATTATGGCTTTTTTTCGTGAGATTGCTAGCAGTTTAAATATAAAAATTGACACGCTTCAAAATGATGTTTATGATGTAAAAAAGGAACTTTGTGAAATTAAAGGAAGCATGAACTTTATTGGTGATGAATGGTAAGTCAAAGTAAAGGGTGTTGATAATAAAATTACAAAGGTAGTCGAAGAAATAACTAATGTAAAAAAATTACAAGGAAAAATCATTTCAGATAACACTGAACTCAAATCAAAAAGCGAAGACATTGAGGATAGAAATAGACGAAATAACTTACGGATTGATAGACTCATTAAAGGTGCAGATGAAAAAGATTGGGAAGACACTAAAAATAAAGTCAAAAAACTCTTTGTTGAAAATCTTGAAATTGCAAATGATATTATGATTGAACGTGCTCATCGAGTTGGTAATGGTGGTTCTGAACGAGTGCAAACGATTGTGCTAAAGTTGCATGACTTTGAAGATAAAGCGATAACTATGGATAAAGCGAACAAACTAAAAGGTACTAATATATATATTAATGAGGATTTTAGTGAAACAACTAGGAGAATTCGTAAAGAACTATTTGCACAAGCAAAAACTCATAGACAAAATGGCTATTATGCAAAAGTTCTATATAATAAATTAATAGTTCACGAATTTAAGCTAAAAAATATAGATGTAGTTGAAATTTTGCCTACTATTTAAAAATAAGCAATATTATTTATATGAGTTCTTGAATAAGCTCTTGTTTTATCTTTTATTTTTAATTTTTAAAAATGGCTGAAAATTTTTTTGCTAATAAAGATTTTAAAAATTTAAATTTTGATCCTTTTGAGGATTTTCTTAACTTTTCTGAAGATAATTTAAATATTATTAAAGAAACTGAAATGAATTTAATGAATACATCATATTTTGATCCTTATAATTTTAAAATTAAAAAAGATATTAATTCTTTTTTTATATTACATTTAAACAATAGAAACAAAGTGTCAGAGACTTGGCATGAAACAGATAGTCCGATTGAATCAAATTCTAATTATAGCTTGCCAAATACAAAGTAATTAGCCAACCACGAGGAAATCATAAAAAACGGTGGAGGACTAGGATTTTACATACTTGAAAAATATATATTTAAGATAAAAAAACAATTATGCTTAGCAACTGAAAACTATGAAAGTCTTTTTATTGAAATAATTAATAACAAAAATAAAAATGCTATGATTGGGTGTGTTTACCGTCCACCATCTGGAGAAATCAGATTGTTTCAAAATTTTATTGAAAAGAGTGTTTTGAAAATAAATAAAGAAAAAAAAACAATTATGTATATCCGGTGATATAAATTTAAACGCGTTGAATTAACACAACTTTCCAAAAACTAAATCGTTTTTTGAAATGTTGTTTAAATACAATGTCTTGCCAGTAATCAATAAACCTACTCGGGTGAATAAAACCTCAAAAACAGCAATTGATAATATACTTATTAACAATTACTTAGAAACGTCATTTCAGTCAGGCATTTTTAAAACAGATATAAGCGATTTACATTACTATTAAAAAAAAATTTATGGATACTCAGCCAAATTTTACAAATTTAAAAAAACGTAACTTAACCATCAATAATACAAATAAACTATCGAATAAATTAAATTTAGAAAATTGGAATGATGTTTATAATTGTCATAATACAAACAAAGCTTTTAGTATTTTTTTAGCTAAATTTTTAGCGATATTCGACTAAACTTGTCCATATGAAGAAATACAAATTAAAACAAAAGCACTTAATAATCCTTGGATAAATAAAACACTTTTAAAGTGTTCTAAAAAAAAACAAAAACTATACAACAAATTAGAAAAAAATAAAAGTATAGAGAATGAGAAAATATACAAAAACTATAAGTGTTTTTATGAACATCTTCTTAAAAAAACAAAAAAAATGTATTATAGTAAACAGATTAGCAATTCCAAGTTTGATGTTAAAAAAACATGGTCACATAATGGGCCGAAGTCAAATAAAAAAGTCAGTATTACCTCAAAGAATTAATATTAATAAATCAAATATACTTTGTCCTTATAAAATATCTAACGAGTTTAATAAATACTTTACAAATGTTGGGATTAGTCTCGCAAACAAAATTATACCAACTTCTACGTCATGTAAGACATATCTAAAAAATCAACAGATGAAACCATGTATGCTAGTGACTTAACTTTTCTTGAATTTGACGCAGCTTATTTTTCTTTAAAAAAAAATAAATCTCCAGGGTTTGGTGAAATCTCCAGTAATATCCTTATATCTAACAAAAAAAGCATTACAAAACCTTTGTTCCACATAGTAACCTATCTTTAGATCAAGGAGTATTTCCTGATATACTTAAACTTGCGAGAGTATACCCAATTTATAAAAATAATGATCGCGCCGACGTATCAAACTATAGACCCATATCGGTACTTTCTGTTTTCTCAAAAATCTTCGAACGTGTAGTTTATAATAGAATAATTTAATTATTTTACAAAAAATAAATTTTTTAATCCAAAACAATTCGGATTTCAAAAAAAAAACATTCAACAGAACATGCCATTATTGAATTAGTTGACCAAATAACTCATGGTTTTGAAAATGATAAGTTTACTCTCGGAGTATCCATAGATTTATCCAAGGCCTTCGACACCGTTGATCACTCTATTCTGTTAGAAAAACTAAAATGATACGGGGAATGCAATAAATTATATCATTCGATAAAAAGTTATCTATCTAATAGAAAACAATATGTTCAAAAAAAGAAATCTGGAATACTGAATATTCTGTGTGGAGTGCCTCAAGGATCGATCCTAGGACCGCTCTTATTTTTAATTTATGTTAATGATTTTAATAGTGCATCGTTAAAACTAAATGCTATCATGTTTGCAGACAATACAAATCTATTTTTATCTAACTGCAGTATTAATCAACTTTATGCTGACATGAACATTGAATTAGAAAAAGTAAATGATTGGTTCAGGTCAAATAAACTTTCTCTTAACGTTGAAAAAACACAATATACCTTGTTTCATAAAAAAACACAAAAAGAAAACCTTCCTCTAAAACTGCCAGAACTTATTATAAATTATAAACAAATTAAAAAACAAGATACTATAAAGTTTTTAGGAGTTATTGTGGATGATCATTTATCATGGCTCCCACACATAAAATATATACAATCAAAAAT